GACGAATTTATGGTAGTCGATGGCTTGTTGTTCCTTGAGAAGCCTGGGAATAAACGACTGTGTGTGCCCGATAGGGAGTCCTTGCGTAGTCTGTTACTAGGAGAATGTCATGATGCAACTGGTCATTTTGGTTATAAGAAGACTTCAGCTAACCTAGTGCAGAAATTCTGGTGGCCCTCTATGATACAAGACGCGAAGAAGTACGTTGAGACTTGCCAGGTTTGCCAACGGAACAAGCCCAGGACTCAGGCTCCACTCGGGCTTATCAACCCCTTGCCTATTCCTGACGGTCCTGGTCAAACTGTGTCCATGGACTTCATGGATACTCTTGTGACCAGCAAAAACGGTAAAAGACGTATCTTCGTCACAGTGGACCGATTCACCAAGTACGCTAGACTGATCGCCATGCTAGAAACAACAAAAACTGACTATGCCATCAAGTTGTTTATGGATAACTGGTACAAGACTTTGGGTTGCCCAAGTCCATCATTACTGATAGGGACGTTCCCTTCACCAGCGAACTGTGGCAGAGTACTGCTCAACAGATGGGCACCCGACTGCAAATGACATCAGGGAATCACCCTGAGTCAAACGGCCAGGCGGAACAGATGAACTGAGTAGAGCAGCACCTGCTTCAACATTACATCAACCCAAGTCAGGATGACTGGGACGAGAAAATACCTCTCGTCGCCAGCCTGTATAACAACGTTGTGCATAGCACTACTGGCATGACTCCCAACCAACTGCATCTTGGTTGGAAGCCCAGATCCGCCTTTGATTTCCTACTACCTGAGAATCAGCCAACTGCAGCACCTGGCAGCATTGAGTTTGACGTCAAATATGAACAGATGCTACAACAGGCTGTAGAACATATTAGGAAAGCTCAAGATGCCATGGTAGCATATGAGAACAAACACAAACGGCCATCTAACTTTCAGGTAGGTGAATGAGTGTGGGTTAAATCATCTGAACGGGGTCATGGGTTTATTTCGGTCCTTGGGAGGTCCTAGATATAGTTGGGGATCAGATAGATGGGCCTTCCTATGTGATTAGCATCCCTGCTCACCTGCTCACACACCCAGTCTTTCACACCTCCAAGCTGGCACCTTTCACAGAAACTGCACAGTTTCCTTCCAGACGATCAATGCTGCCCCCAGCCATGGATGGCGAAGCCAACATCGATGACATTGTGGAGTGCAGAGTGATTCCTGTACCTAAGCCTCCTGGAAGAGGCAGACCTGGTCAGATTCAGACACCATACTGATCCCAGCGAAGATCAGTGGTTTACCAGAGAGGAACTGCAGCAGACAGCTCCCCAAGTGATTGCAGGATATGAAAGAAGACTTAAGGGAAAAATGCCTGCAGACTAAAGAACTTCTCAGGGGACTATCGAAGTAAAGGAGGAGGGAATGCGAGGATCTAACTCCTTGGCAGGCCTAAGGGCCCCATTTTGCAGATGTGCCCGCCCCAAGTGAAGGCGGGCCTGACCAAATCACGCGAGGCCCATTGTTGTCAATTTTGCATTTGGGGTTCAGACAGTTGTGTCACGTCAGTTGGTTGGGGAAACCCAGGCCACGAGCAGCAAAACTTTCCATGGCCTTCTAGGCCTTTTCTGGAAGCAGGCCCTGGGTCGCATCGGCAGCAGTATACACGCCAGGCAGTTGGGAGGCGTAACCGAACGGGGCCCAGCAGCAGCAGCAGCAGCAGAGGCCCAGCTACCCGGGGCCTACCGGAAGCTTCTGGGCACAGGCCCAGCCCAGCCAGGCAGCGCAGCAGGCCAGACACTTTCCATATAGGAAAGTGCCCGCTGCCTGGCCAGACATTGGGGCACTTGCAACTCGTGCGGCGGCGTTGCTTGAGCGTGCGCTCGCATGCTGTGCGCGGCGCTGTGCAGGGTGCCCACACACATGCGGTCGTGTAAGAAAGGGCGCTGCTGTGGGCAGCGCCATAGCTTGGCTTTCATAGCCAACCGGGCTTGGGTACACAGCAAGGGTGTAGTGGTGGTCTTCGTGCATGAGGGAGAAGATGTGGGTGAAAGACAAGGGAGAGGGCAAGAGAGAGAGAGATGAGGAGGATGACGTGAGGACACATACCTGGTATTGACGATAGTCTGCATTGGGCGGCATCTTCATGTACGTTGTTGGCTGCTGACTTCAACAGTTGCATTGTCAATTCGTAGGCAGATAGTAGATGTGTGAGAGTAGTCTGGGCGCCGAGCGCCAAGAAGGGGGAAGGGCCTGGACACTTATGTTGGTGATGACGAGAGTAAGCTCTCATTGACATTCGGATTCAGTGTTTGGATTCTCCATTGGTGTAATATTGGTGCAATGCTGCTTTCTGGACACTGGGGGACTTTCTGGCTTTCAATGTGATTGTGCAATCTGGATTCTTTTTTTTTTTTTTTTTTTTTTTTTTTTTTTTTTTTTGGTGCAATCGGGATTCAGTCATCTCGCTATTGCTCATTTTCCTTGAAAGAAAAAAAAAAAAGGGCCCCTTTCAGTCTGAAAATCGCTATTGGTGTAGTCTGTTGGATGTCTATGCTTTTCTACTACAGCAGGTGAACACATGTCTCTTTGCTCTATTTCCGGATTCCCTGTGTGCTGTTCTGTTTGAGGATGTCGTCTATTGCTAAAACCCTAAACCCTAGCTTGTTACCTTTTTGACCTTTTTCTATTCTCGAGGGTTGTTCCTTGGATGTATCTACTGTTGATAGGTGATCTGCTTGAAGTCAGGGATAGACTCTATCTTTGTGGTTGATGAGATAGGAGGGGGCTTGACGCGGATCAGAGTTTTAGATAGGCGCTGAATGAGGGATGGATGCTGTATGTGAGTGGGGGTAGTGGAGGGGGGATGTTGTAAGTTGGTTTAAGGTTATTTGGGTGTTTTAGGGTAAAGGGGGGGGTGTTGGTAGGAAATATGTGGGGGGGGAGAGAGCAGGGAGGTTGCAGCTATGGAGTTGGTTCAGTGTTATACGGTTGGTTAGCTGTCAGTAAGGGTTGGGTTATAGGCGATGTTGGATGGTTTGGAATTGTTGGTACGCTTATCCAGTTCTTGAGAGTGAGCCTGTCATTATTTACTGTGTCTAGGTGTCCCTTTCCTAGTTTGAGAGTTATGGAGTTTTTGATTTTTTCTGCTTTTTTATCGGGGTCAGTTGGGAGTTTGTTGAATTGCTTTTTCCAAAGGGCGTGGATTTCCATGTCTATTAGCGGTTTTATGGTTATGGTTGGGTTCTCTGGGTGGTGAGGCGGTCATAAAAAATACTATCACATTTGTTTTTCCATATGGTCCAGAGAGTGCTTTTCCTTATGAGTGAAGAGAGGAAGGCTTCGAAACCCTTGAGTGGAGGGTATTGTTTGAGCTCGAGGAATAGTGTGGCCAGATTAATTAAGAGGGGTAGATTTTTTATTTTGTTCCAGGATACCTTGATTGCTTGCCAGATAGATCTGGCTTTTGCACAATCTCTGAAGCAGTGATTTAGGGATTCTATGGATTGGGTGTTACAGACTTTGCACCAGGAGTCTTGTTCCGATCTGGTTTCTTGGTTGCGTCCTCGTGCCAGCCATTGGTTAACTGGTACTGCTCTGTAGAGTATTAGCCATCTTAGACTGGCTAGTTTGATCGGTCTTGTGGTGAAGATTGAGGCCCAGGGGGGGTTGGGGAGGGTGTTGGATAGTTGGGGTTCCTCTTTTGACCATCTGTTGTGAAGAGTGTTGGCTATGGATATAGGCTTGGTGAAGAGGCGGTAGCCTAGTTTCGGTGTATGGTCGGTCAGTTTAATGAGGCTTGGGATGTGGGTGGGGCGGGTGGCGGTACTCCATGTCCATTCGGTAGGGTCAATCTCTAGGTTCTGTACGCTTAGTTGGGGTTTGTATACTCTTTTTATTTCTCCCTCTATGATTCTGATTCTTCTTAAGTTTCTTGTTTTGAATAAACCTCTGCTCTGCTCTTTAATTTGATTTGACTTACTGGGTTTTCAGGTTCATCTAAGGTAAAAATATTGCAGCAGATCCAGTTGTTGTCATCAATTTCGTAGTTCTTGAAAGCAAGCACTTCTTGAACTGTTGGGGAGTCGATTGTGGTGACCCAGTTGCGGTCCTGCCATTCTTGGTCCGATCTTAGCAGGTTTCTCCATAGTAGGGGGATGCCGTCGATAATTTGGTTTAAGTTGGTTTGTAGGTGGTGTACTCCTTTTAGTTTAGTCCATCGACAACTTTCTGATCTCCATTTTTTGTGCAGTTCGTCCCATGTATGTTCAATGCGCCAAATTCCTTTCTCCAGCCAGTGTCCTCATTTGGTTTCTGATTTAGAAAGTGAGATGCTTTCACCTCCTTCATTTTTAATCAATGGGTTGCTGAAGAGAGGTTGCCTGAGGACTTCATCTTTCCTTTTTTTTCTTTTTTTTTTTCAAACAGAACCTCAGGGTTCCGGCTCCTTGTCCATTCTGGGAAGCATCAGTCCGGTTCCTATTCCACCGGCAAGTCAAAGAAAGTACACCCATTAGGAAGGATGTACCATCATTCACCCCTGCCTAAGTTAGCCTGTGCAGTCTAGGTTTTTTCTTGAAGTTTGACTCCTTTTGCTTCGTCCAGTCAGTTCCTCTCAGATCCTCGACTGTCATATTTTCTCTTAGGCGCTAGAACTGCTGATGTGACTACCCAAGGTGAGTTCTGTTTGGACTATGCTCTGTGAGGCTAAAATTGCTACGCTCCTTGCCGTCCATTGAGTTAGAAAATGGAGAGTGGGCGACTGATGCTCCCCAGAATGGAAATGGAGCCAGGGCCATAAGGACCTGTCAAAAGGGCAAAAAAAARAAAAAAAAAAAGAAAAGAAAATGGAGTGTGGGCGGTTTGATCTCGAACATCTTCATGTCTGGTGTTTTTTTTTTTCTTCTTCAAAATCTGGTGCTGCTTCTACTTCACAGCCATTCTAGGTGTTTGGCCATGGGTCGGTTGTTGGATGACTGAATGTGTCCCCTATTGAACGTGTGTCCTATTGCTCAGAGTCTGGTGAACCAATTGGACGGACCCTATGAGCCATCCACAGAGGAGATTGAAGCAGAAGCTGACCGCTTGGTTTTGAAGAGAGCTCTATTGGCTAAAGAGAGTGAGGAGGAAGCCCGACAACTGAAAGGTAGAAATGACAGAGAGAGAGCAAACAGCCTTGCGACTAGAGAGAAATCAGGAGACAATAACACTGCAGCATCACGAAAGCCAACGCTACAAGAGAACACCCTCATGTACCTATTGGGCATCAACACAGCTGCTGCCGCTGTAGATCATAATGCTCTGCGTTCACTCGCTGCTGATCTGGCAATGGAGTCTTCTGTGAAGACAGCAATAACATCCCCGCAGAAAGACACGATTACCATGCAGAGACCCTCCTTCCAGGCCACTCTTGGGAAAACACCCTTCATAAATTCACCGTCCTTGCAAGACCAAGTTGAGCAGGTCATATTTCAAGATGCCACAGTCAGCAAGGGAGCCTTGAAGCCAAAGAAGAAGAAAGGGAATGCTCCGCTACTGATAACATACGTCTGTGATTTCGGGCATGTTGTTCGCGGAACAAGCAAGAAGAAAGTGTTCCGTATCTCACGGCCACGGTTTTCGTCTATTTCGTTCATCATAGACAAACACAACCTGGATCATGGGTTCAAAGTGGAGCAGGACAGTCGGGTCAAGCTTCCTCCTTTTCCACATAATGGCAGCATTGACCTTGTCGTGCTGTTTGAGCCGCTTGGAGAGGACCCCCCGACTGGGGCGCTTCAATGTGTGCTGCCATTCAAAGTCAAACTGGTATGTATCAAGTCTTCTCATCCCAATCCAAGTGTTCCAACTTCAGTGCAATCCATGATGACATCCACGTGCTCAAATCTCACATGCAACTTTGTACCAGCAAAATGATGCAATTGGGATCATAATCGACAACACTGTTCCCTGTTAAGTACCCATTTGTAACTCCCATGCGTGGTCCTTGTTCTATAGCTGAATTTGGGGTAACTACTAACTTTCAGTTTAGATACAGCAACAATGACCGTGCATCCTGTTTGAGTGAAGACATTAGTGGTTACTGCTGGTATCATACGAACCAGTCCCCAGTTAAAAGTGTGTTAGTGAATGGCTGGAGAGACCTACATTTCACAGTCTTTTTGTGCTTGGATAAATGTTTTCACTGTTGAGCAGGGCCCAACCATCAATATCATTCTGAAAGCGGACGTGCAGATTCCTGAGCTGCAACCATCAACAGAGACTCTGAATTTTGGAGCTGTTCGATTTGGTCTGTGCAAGGTACTCTCCCACGCTACTAAACCAAATTCTGCAGTCATTCATTGAATGGGCACACAGGTGCTTTGTCAGTCTGCACTCAAAGTCCAACTAGCCAATCAATCAATCAGTCAGTCAGTCAGTCAGTCAGTCCGTCAGTCCGTCCGTCCGTCCGTCCGTCCGTCCGTCCGTCCGTCCATCAGTCAGTCAGTCAGTCCATCTGTTCGTCCGTCCGTCCGTCCGCCCGTCCGCCCGTCCGTCCGTCAGTCGGTCAGTGAATCAAAATCAATCAATCAATCAATCTGCATTGAGCCACACTGCTCGTCACCTTCAGCACACACACACATTGAGAGATCACACAAAGTCCACACTGGAGACCAGAGATGCAAAGTCCAGATTAGCGCAGCTTAGAAATTCCAACGAATCATCATATTAAACAGTTTTTGAGTTCCCGTCACCAAGCGCTCAACAGCTCAGAGCTGAGCAACTCAAATCCAGCATCCTCATCTAGGTAGGTGACCTCCTCTCTCTCTCTCTCTCTCTCTCTCTCTCTCTCTCTCTCTCTCTCCCCCTTTCATGCATGTGTTAACTCTCTCTCTCTCTCTCTCTCTCTCTCTCTC